TCAGATAAGGTTTTTAGAAAAAAATGATTCATCAAACACAAAAAAAAACAAAATATCTGATGCATACAACGGGCCTGAAGGGGAACTCGTAGGGGCATTAGTGGAACTCGTGCTGGCGCATCCACTTGGTGGCGGACCACTTCTCCCCTTTGAGCACATCGCAGCTGCCGTGCAGACTCTTGGGGTCCACCCTGCCCTCAAAGTCCTGGAGGGGGGCAGCAGTCAGTGTGAAAGAGCAGACAAAAGGGGCTGGGCTTCTAGAAGAAGCATGCTGGTGGCAGCAGGGATCAGGATTAAAAGTTACGGTCATTTAAAATACAGGCCATTTTTACGGTCGTATTTTACGATCAGATTAGCAGTTACATGGCCGTTCTTTTGTCAGACAATTTTTGCATAGATTATTTCTGACAAGTTTTGAAATGCTTACAACCATGACCTAGAAGGTGAGCATCTATGAAACTACAGTGGTCTACAACACTTAGGATGCCAACGTACATCTGATCCTAATCCCTCACCCCCTCCACTACCACTACTGCTTCCCCATCCTCCTTGACCTCCTCCTCCCCACTCTCACCATCGCAGCAGCCCCAGGGATTGCTATCCTTAGGAGTCTTGGTGGGTTCATCCTCCTGCCCGCTGCTGTCTAACGACTCCTCCTCCTCCTCCTCCTCATCCGCAGCATGTCCCTTCCCCTTTCCCTTGCGTGACCCGTTGCCCTTCCCCTTCCTCTTCCTCTTTGATGACTCAGTCGTCTTCCTCTTCCTCCTCTTGCCTATCCTCCTGAACTCCTTCCAAACAATGTTCAGTCTTCCTCCCCTTCCCCCTCCTCTTCAGCCCCCACTTCTCCCCTCCTGGTGAAGGCAACATATGTGACGCCCGTCATTCTCGAGGCGTTGAGGCGGTTTCGGTCCCGCCTCTGCACACGTGCAAGGGTGGACCCGTACCGCTCCACCTCGGAGGAGGTGACTGGCTGTGATAGCACCATCACAGCCAGCACCTGGAGCTCACGCACTTCCCTGCCGTACATCCGCCACCACTCCGCATCCATCAACCGTCCCCCCTCCACCAACGTCGTTGCTGCCGAACAGGCGTCATTGAAACCCAAAGCCCCCTCGCCTTTGTGGATCCGGGCCAGCTGAGCACACAGCAGTGTGCGCTGTGCGACATCCCCGTTCCGAGCTTGGATTACCTCCTGCGCCCCTCTCGTTACCTCGGGGTCGTTTCTCACCTCCCCAACATACTGGTTGCAGGGATTGAGAAGCCAGCCCATCGCATGCAAGGGATTGTGCAGCTGGCCGTCCCACCACTTGGCAATTATTGCCTTGATGGAGGCCAAGAAGGTTGGTTAGTCTTTTGCCACTAGCATGCACGTCCATTTGACCAAGCGCGCGGCTGCTCATGTTTGAAAAAGAGCACATGTAAGTAAGTAATATAAGATGGGGATCACAGTAGGATAACCCGAATGCAAAAGCAAATGCCGCTTCGGCCGCAACATTTTGTCTTGACAGTGGCCTCCAGCATGAGGCCATAAACCTGTCCCATGACTAAAGGCCGTTTGTCAACGGCTCGAAGAACCACAAAGACCGGAGTCATAAGGCGGAGCACTGCTGTCCCGTAGTCCCAAAACACATCGTCTCATAAGAGCTTGCGGACCGCCATCCCCTCCTCCGATCGTGCCACGCCACCTCCTCCCTTTAATCGCTGATGACCACCTCTCTAAGCGCATTCTTCACTCCTAGAAATCGGTCGAGCATGATCACATGTGTGCCAATCGTGTTGCACCAGGCCACACCAAGGATAGCTTGCTGAAAACCTATGGGAATAGAGTGACAACGCAAGGCACGGCCTTTCACCATCATCACTACAGGGTGAACTTGGCCTAGGACGCGCCTAACTGCCCGAATCTTTCCAAGGTCATGCAGCATGAAATCCAAGACGTGCGCCGCACAGTTGGTGAAGAACAACCCGGGAATTTTCTTGGTGAGCATGGCGGCCACCCTCTTATTGTTGGGGGCGTTGTCCATAACAACTTATCTCCAACCGTGCAGATCGCTTGACGAATGACACCAACCAGGTACTCGCCCTTTTTTTGCATTCTTAGAGTCGATGATGTCCACAATGACAAGTGCCGTATCATTATGCGCAATGATACACACCATCACACAGCTCTTTAGGCGTGTATCCCGTCCACCGAGAGGGTGCACCCGCTCATGCTCCAACTTTCCTTGAGCGGCCTAACAAGGTCTTTGGTGTCCGCCTTCAGCTTCGCAAGCAGCGGGCCGGGCACCCTATAGGGGGATGGGAGAGTATAGAGCTTCCCGAAGTTGACGACCGCGTCAACAAAAGCTTGGAGCGCCTTAGACTTGGAGGTGTGAAATCCAAGGTCGTTTTCTGCCACAACAGCCGCCCACAGGTAGTCAAGATGACTGCGAGCAACCGTATCCGTCATGTCGCGGATATCCCGCTGCCTCGAGGGACGTGCGGAATGCAGCAACCGTGGACGCGGAGCCACGGTTGGATCCATTCCTCGTGGAGGAACGTTCCTGTTCGGCTGCCGACAGCAGCTGCTCAACGTACCCCGAAATTGCAAACCGCTACGTTCCGCAATTTCGAGGACGGAATGCCGAATACATGCTCTCCTATTCTGGTCACGTTAGCCGTCACGGTAGCGTCACAATGAATGCATGTAGCATGAACAACGGTGCCGTCTGGTCTCGTCGCCTTCTTCACATGCTCCCTAAATTGCGAAATCTATCGCACCATGGAGTCGAGCTAGACCGTGCTGACATGAAAGCAATAAGACTGTTGATCTGAGGTAAAATTTGATCTAAGAAGAATGGGTCAAATTTTGCTTTTCAGCTCCAATTAGTACCTCGTAGGCGTTGCTTGCTGGTGATGCTTTGTCGGGTGGAGTTTGAAGAAATGATAAGAGAGAAGACGATGGGCAATTGTGTCGACTACTATTGAGACTAGAAACCTCTAGGCACACCTCTAATCCACATTATGATTTCCCCACGGGGTCACCTCCAAGGGTCCTTGCGTGCTTGGTAGAACCAGCCCCTAACCAAGGGTCCATGTTTGAAGAGGGATTTCCCTAGTGTGAAAACGATCGTGTGCACTAGAGTGCTCCCAAGCTCCGTTGTGCAGCGTTAAATGATCGATCCGCTCGTGTGCAAGTAATTCTCTTCCCGTCAATACGTGGATAGAGAAAATATTCACTTGTCAAAGGTTGATCACAAACAAACGCAACCACGACATTATACTAGCCACCAAAAGCGAAAGCAAAAGGCCCACCGAAATGAAAGCTAGAACCATACTCTGAAACGCCAACTTTCTCCACGCGAAATTAGTGGCAACATGCTCGCCCACGCTTAATTCTATGGGCCATACTTGCTCGTGAAGTCAAGTGGACACTCGTGGCGTTTCGTGGCGATAGCTTGTGACAGCTGATGAAATCACATGATTAATTCGCGCAGTTACGCGACGAAATTACGAATTCGTTGAAGTTATTCTCGCACATTTCGCACCAGCTTTGAATGTAGTCGCGCGCTTCACGAAAACACCTCGTGGCGAATTTCTTCTCGGTGAATGAAGACAAATTCAATTGGGGCCCCACGCGCGCTCGTCGTTTCCCATGCGCCACCTTACTGCCGCACTCGCGCGTGTGGCGAGGAATTCAATTGCAGCCTCAAGCCGCGCGTGTACAGCTTTTGGCACACTCCTGCCACTCGGCAGTGTTCCCATGATTGCGCCACAAGCGCAACAGTGCTCGGCCTCATGGCCTCTAGCCTTGACCACCTCGATAGGGGCGAAATCCCTTAAGCCTCACAAACAAACACGAAATTGCAAATGAACTCATTAAAACAATTGAAAACGCAACTCTCAAACTTCACATGAAAACCCACTCGCTCGAAATCACACTAACGTTTCACGAACAAACACATGAACATTCACGACACTTTCACAAACACTCGTGACTCGCAAAACACATGAATTAACACGAACGCACACGAAATCTCTTAACTCACAAAATCACATGAACACTCGCCTTCACTTACGAAAACTCATGAACACTCACAAACTCAACCTTCACAGAAACGCTCATAACTCATGAACCGTCAAGGCGATTCACGACTGTAAACGCCCAAACGAAAAAAACACAGAAATGGTCATCCCAAAAGCCACACATTACCTTCAAGCAAAGAATCACCTTTTTTTCCTTCATCATCGGCGAATAGGCGGTAGGTTGTTGTGCAAACCACGTTTTGCACTCAACAAATTGCTATTGGCTGGGAATGTTTTCGCATGCAAAGGCTGGGAGCGCCAAGTTAGTGGGTGAATACAAAATGCAGGGCGCGAAACAGGTTACCGATACCATAAAACGGGTGAACAAATGCCACTCGTTCATTAAAAGTCAAAAGTGTCGCGACTCGATGTGTCCGTTCGGCGAACGAAGTCAACGACTGTGCGAAATGGGTAAACACTTGTTTGCTGTTCACCAAATGTTCGAATGTCAAACCTCGAGAACGTGTTGAATTTCGCGATTTGGCTAAATGAATGTCGCTACTGGATGTGCGCACGAAATCACACATTATAAGACTAACGGGTGCAAAAACCTGAATGTTGATATACACTGGTTTGGTTTCAGAATTTCAGTCGAAAAAAACGACAGTTATTTTGAACGAAGCGAAAAAATGAAGGTCTAATCGTATCTTACAGTTTTATACGACCGTACTATACGATACTGTATAACACGGTCCATTCTAAAAATACGGTCGTACGTTTGAACCTTGGAGGGTCAAAACATTTGTCAGTAGCAACTGTGTTACTGTGATGAGGCAACCCTTTAAACAGGAAAACGTTCATTGTGTACTCCTGAACAGAACTCACCACACTCCAAAGCAGCACTCACCACACTCCAAAGCAGCACTCACCACATTCCAAAGCAGCACTCACCACACGACAAAGCAGCACTCTCCACACTCCAAGGCAGCACTCACCACATTCCAGAAGAGCACGGCATCGCCCTTGACTGGGCGCACACAGATGCCCTCCTTCATCTCGCCGCCGCACTCACACTTGCTGCTGCCGCCCGCCTGCCACGCGAGGTGAGGGTGCAGTGAGGCAGCAAGGCATGAGAAAAGAAGGGCGTGGGAGTAGAAGAGCATGAGGATTACGCTGAGCGGTGAGACCGAGTCTCAGCGAGTCGGCTGCACACATATAGCTAGGTTTCCCTAAGAGACAGTCTTCATTCACGATGCGAGATGCCTTGTATTATTGACACACGCGACGCCCTCTGGCCCGTTCTTCATTCCGCCATCGTAGGTCCCCAACCACTTCCCAGGAAGGCAAAACAAGGCTGAGAGGCCGATCGAAAGGGAGCACAGATGAAAGCACGAGAGCAGCGAGGAAGACATGAGAGCATGCCATACAACACAGCGTCTCACTGGCTGCCAGGATGATCACACCCTCAACTGCATGCCTTGTGTGCGGAATACCTTCACATGAATCAGTAGGCATTCCACTCATAGCATGCTGCAACGAGATACATGCACTCTTATAGTTCGTATCAGGCCTATGAAACGGTTGGTCGCAATCGGTGTCGTGGTTATGATGCCATCATGGAGAGCCTACTGCCAGTCCGCTACATTGATGGAAGAACCAAACCTGGAACATGCACCTACTCACTTCAGCTCATCGGTTCAATACTGGGCTTGTGGAAGGGAGTGCGCCTACTGTAGAGTTCATTTGAGCAGCAGAAGTGCGTGGAGGGCAAGGAGCGGGCAGGGGATGGGAGGCCTGAGGGTGGTCTCACGTTGGGGAAGATGGTTTGGCCGCCGTCCTCCGGCGCCTCGATGTACATGAGCATCGTCGCCACCCGCTGCCCCCCCCTCCGCACGTTCACCTGATCCAATGGCACCGGTGCAGCAAGGCAGAGGGACAGGCAGGGATGAAGGAGAATGGTAACGAACACGGGAGGGGCAGAGATTGCGGAAGTGAGCGAAGGAGCGAGATGGAAGGTAAGAGGGCGAGGGCGGCTCATATGGACGCCGTATGGGGATGGCGAATGGGGTGTCAAATGGGGGTGACATACGGTGGTGTCAACTAGGGATGTCAAATGGTGATGAGAAGGTGACACTGCAAGACAAGTGTGTGGCAGAGAAACGGCTGAAATGCTTCTCCTGGTTGTCCCACATGCTCCATAACGCCCTGACCTGCCCTGCCATACCCATCACCACCACACCCCAACACACCCCACTAACCCCGCTGTACCTCACATCTCCCAGCCCAGCATGGCCCCACCATGCCCCAGCATGCCCCACCATGCCCCAGCATGCCCCAGCATGCCCCACCATGCCCCACCATGCCCCAGCATGCCCCACCATGCCTCAGCATGCCCGGCATATCCCACCCACCCCACACATGATGCACGGGCAGACCTGATCCGAGAAGTAGTCAGGGTGTGGCAGGTAGTGCTGGCCGTGCTCGTACCTGATGGTGGGCACATGTGCATGCACGTCACATGCACACACACACACACACACACACACACACACACACACACACACACACACACATTTGCACACATGCACACACACACACACACATTTGCACACATGCACACACACACACTCACTCACTCACACATGTGCGCTTGCACACATGCATGCTCGCACATCCAGAAACAGATCTAACATCATTCTACAGACGAGAGCATGCTTGCAGGCACGGAGCATGTTTGCAGGCACGGAGCAGCACGTTCTTTCGCTCAGCCGTTACTCTTTCGGCCATACCTGCAGCATGCACTGTTGCTCACTTGAGTATTTGGATGAGCTCACTTGAGTATTTGGATGAGCTCACTTGAGTATTTGGATGAGCTCACTTGAGTATTTGGATGAGCTCACTTGAGTATTTGGATGAGCTCACTTGAGTATTTGGATGAGCTCACTTGAATATTTGGATGAGCTCACTTGAGTATTTGGATGAGCTCACTTGAGTATTTGGATGAGCTCACTTGAGTATTTGGATGAGCTCACTTGAATATTTGGATGAGCTCACTTGAGTATTTGGATGAGCTCACTTGAGTATTTGGATGAGCTCACTTGAGTATTCGGATGAGCTCACTGGAGTATTTGGATGAGCTCACTTGAATATTTGGATGAGCTCACTTGAGTATTTGGATGAGCTCACTTGAGTATTTGGATGAGCTCACTTGAGTATTTGGATGAGCTCACTTGAATATTTGGATGAGCTCACTTGAGTATTTGGATGAGCTCACTTGAGTATTTGGATGAGCTCACTTGAATATTTGGATGAGCTCACTTGAGTATTTGGATGAGCTCACTTGAGTATTTGGATGAGCTCACTTGAGTATTTGGATGAGCTCACTTGAGTATTTGGATGAGCTCACTTGAGTATTTGGATGAGCTCACTGGAGTATTTGGATGAGCTCACTTGAGCTATGTTGCACTATACGCGATTCACGTATCAGTCGCGTTCGACTTATACGCTTACGGGCGTACGTGATACGGGGGATTTCCGCCCCGGGATACGCTTCAAATACGTTCGCCCGGGCAGACGAAAAAAAGTTTCGGGCAGGGGAAAAATAGTGTCAGGGGGGTGAGTCGTGTTGCCTATGTTCTTTGTGATTGTGCCCTGGTGGTGTTGTCCCTACGTGTGAAATTTTTTTTCGCCATTACACACATGCATTGCAAGTACACACATAATAGCAACTACTTGCACATACCTCCCCGAACTCCTCTACTCCCCAAACCTTCAGCTGCTAATACTCGACCTCTACTCCTCATGCTCGTCGCCTCGTCCGCCACTTACCCTGCTGCTGCCTTTCTTACTCCACGCACTCATCGGCCAGCACGGCCTCATCCTCCTCCTCCTCCTCCTCCTCCTCCTCCTCCTCCTCCTCCTCCTCCTCCTCCTCCTCCTCCTCCCCTTCCTCCTCCTCCTGGTATCCCTCCGGCAGAGGGGGAGCAGGGATGTTGCCCGGAAGCACCGCCAGTGACTCACCAAGCTTGTGGTACTTGTGGACCACCGGCCAGTTGTGGGCCACATAAACTAGGTCCCGGAGTTTCTCCGAGCCTAGCTTGTTGCGGCGGGCAGTATGCACCGACTCCCACGATGCCCACCCGCGCTCACACGGCGAGGCTGACACCGGCTGTGTCAGGGAACGGCACGCAAGACTGGCCAGGTGGGGGTGGTCAGTCCCATGCCATCCCCACCACTGCACCATCGAGTGCTTGCCTGCCTTCACGGCCTCCCTGTCGGCAATTGCTTCAGGGAGGCCGAAGGATCCCTCCAGGTTGAGGAAGGCCGTGAGCCCCTCCTGCAAAACAAGAGAGGCCCGCTTCTCCTCACCGTCCTTGTTGGTGAAGGTCTTGCCGTCGTAGTGGCGCGCGATGAACGCCTTGAAGATGCGGGTACATTCCACATCGTTGCGGAATATACCCTCTTCCTGATTTGCTGGGTTCAGGATCCGGCCAACGACGTGAAGCGCGCAAGCGAGGCTCTCGTCCCAACGGCTCTTAACGATCTTCCTTATCTTATCCGCGTCCGCCCGCGTCAGAAACTTGTCCCCCGCATCCACCTTGGTGTTCATGTCCTCGGTCAGCTGGAGCATGTGGTCATAGATGGTGCCCATCATGCCCTTAGCGCTGCTATCCGTGGCCTGCATCACCTTGAACGGAAGCGCCAACAGCTCCACGAGATAAGTTGCTTTCTTCCACCACTCGTCGTCCATGACTTGGCCGCGGAAATTATCTGCCGTCAGCTTCCTTGCCCCGCTCCCCCAGTTGCCGTACTCCTCGCTCAGCACCAAGGTCGACAACGAAGACCGCAGCTCGCACAGCCTTGAGAGGGAGATGAAGTTGGTGCCGAACCTGGTCCCCGCCGGCTTCACAAGCTGCTTCCCCTTTCCTCCCTTTACCGCCCCACTCCTCAGGTAATTGCGGGTGAAATGGTGGTTACGAACGTAACTGACCATGTCCCCGCACCGATCCACAATCTCCTTCGCCCACGTGATCTTCCCAACGTCCTCCATGAGGAGGTCGAGCACGTGCGTAGCGCACGGCACGTACTCGATGTGCGGCCATTCCGCCATAAGCTCCTTGCAGGCGGCCCCGTAGTTGGAGCCCCCGTCCATGCAAAGAGCGACCACGTTTTCGGGCCCTATTTTCTCGATGATGGGGCGGAGAATGGAAGCGATGAAGCCGCCGGTTTTTGACTCCATGTTGCAGTCAATTGCCCCGACGAACACTGCTCCGGAGTCGTTGATGAGCATCACGTTCGCCTGCGGCCTCCCGCACCGATCGGTCATCAAGTCCGAGGAGACGGTGACGCCATCTCTCTTCCAGCTCGCGGCGATTGGCTGAAGCCCCCTCTCGATGCCCGTGCGGCAAAGCTTCAGGCCATACCCTCCCACGTAGTTACGGCGCGGCGCGACATAACCGGGGCCTGCGTTGTTAATGGCCCGCACCATGTTGCGCCACAATGGGTTGTCGGCGTGGTGTGCGGGAATGCGACAGCCGGCGAAGAACAAGCAGACGAAGTTGTTCGCCTCTTCGTTCTTGCATTTCTGCTCGTCGCCAATGAAGTCGGTGATGCGTCCTTTCTTAGAACCTCCCACGACAGCTTCGAGCGCAGCCTCCTCGGCCCTCCTCTTTTCGTTGCGGCCGGATGATTTCTTCTCGTAATGCGCGCGCACCGCCGCTCGCACATCAGACGGAGCCTTCGCGCACAGGCGGACGTCGCGCGTTTTCTGTCCCTTCCATTTCGCGAGATGCTGAGCGCATCGAAACGCACCACCCTTGAACTCGACGGAGCAATACTTGCAAACGCGGACAGTGCCGACGGTGTCAGGGCGGATCGGAACCTTGAAATGCATGAAAACGATGTGCTTACTATCCTCTTCCTGCCATTGTGCCTCAGAGGTCGAGGCTGACGGATCAGTAGACTCAGCGCTGGGAGATGGGTCTGGAGTAGCCATAAACAGAGAACAAACGAGAGGGAGGCTAGACAGAAAGAAGTGGATGAGAGTTGTGTTGAGGTGGGGTGAAATATACTTACCACGTATTGGTTGTGGGGAGGGGGACGTGCTGTGGTTGGTCACGACTTGTTGGGGGTGAGTGGGCAATGTTGATGTACGTGGGGTGAACGTGGCGACTCGGGGTTGCACGTCCCTTGGTTGAAAAAAACGCGAATCGAAATGTCGGTATACGTGCGTACGAAAAGTGCGCGAATTTTTTTTTTTCCCCCCAAAACATTTTCCCCTGCCCGGCTTTCCGTATCGCGTATTTGTCCCCGTTTCACGTATTTGCGTTTATACGTGAACGCATAAACGTGAAACGTAAAACAGTCTGAGCGTATAGTGCAACATAGCACTTGAGTATTTGGATGAGCTCACTTGAGTATTTGGATGAGCTCACTTGAGTATTTGGATGAGTTCACTTGAGTATTTGGATGAGCTCACTTGAGTATTTGGATGAGCTCACTTGAGTATTTGGATGAGCTCACTTGAGTATTTGGATGAGCTCACTTGAGTATTTGGATGAGCTCACTTGAGTATTTGGGTGAGCTCACTTGCGTATTTGGATGAGCTCACTTGAGTCTTCGGCTGTGTTCCAGAAGACGCTGCATCCAGGACGCAAGACGTTTTTTTTTTACTTTTTAGACGCAGATACAGACGCAAAGCCCAGGCAGACCAAAAAAACGTTCGGGCAGGCCCAAAAAAAACCCAAGGGGCCAGGGGGGGTGGGTGGGTTACATAGTTCACATTTCATCCAAGGTAGGTCTACTAAGAGCTAAACCCCTTAGGGTTTTCCAAGGAGAATTAGGTTGAACTAAAATGGAGGAGCACAAATGAAGCACTTGTGCTCCAATATACTCTTGGTGGTATGCAATTGTGGTTGGGTTGAGTAGATGTTGTGCGGTTGAGTAGGATGTAGAGTAAATTTTGGTAGGGGGGGTTTCCGTTTTTGGGGTTTGGGCTGGTTTTGACGGTCGATTTCGTTTGGGGGGGGGGGGGCGAAATTCGCGATTTCGACATTGGCGTCGAAATGGCGAATGTCAAAGTCGCGCGCGGGCAATTTTTTTATTTTTCGGTCAGACCCAAAAAAAACAGCCCATGCGTCCTGCGTCTAAATGTGCGTTTTGCGTCCTGCGTCTGGACGCTGCGTCCAGACGCAGGACGCAGGACGCGCTGTGCGTCTTCTGCAACACAGGTATTCGGATGAGCTCACTTGAGTATTTGGATGAGCAGACTTGAGTATTTGGATGAGCTCACTTGAGTATTTGGATGAGCTCACTTGAGTATTTGGATGAGCTCACTTGAGTATTTGGATGAGCTCACTTGAGTATTTGGATGAGCTCACTTGAGTATTTGGATGAGCTCACTTGAGTATTCGGATGAGCTCACTTGAGTATTCGGATGAGCTCACTTTTTGGATGAGCTCACTTGAGTATTTGGATGAGCTCACTTGAGTATTTGGATGAGCTCACTTGAGTATTTGGATGAGCTCACTTGAGTATTTGGATGAGCTCACTTGAGCTTTTGGATGAGCTCACTTGAGTATTCGGATGAGCTCACTTGAGTATTCGGATGAGCTCACTTGAGTATTCGGATGAGCTCACTTGAGTATTCGGATGAGCTCACTTGAGTATTTGGATGAGCTCACTTGAGTATTTGGATGAGCTCACTTGAGTATTTGGATGAGCTCACTTGAGTATTTGGATGAGTTCACTTGAGTATTTGGATGCGCTCACTTGAGTATTTGGATGAGCTCACTTGAGTATTTGGATGAGCTCACTTGAGTATTTGGATGAGCTCACTTGAGTATTTGGATGAGCTCACTTGAGTATTTGGATGATCTCACTACAGTATTTGGATGAGCTCACTTGAGTATTTGGATGAGCTCACTTGAGTATTTGGATGAGCTCACTTGAGTATTTGGATGAGCTCACTTGAGTATTTGGATGAGCTCACTTCAGTATTTGGATGAGCTCACTTCAGTATTTGGATGAGCTCACTTGAGTATTTGGATGAGCTCACTTCAGTATCTGGATGAGCTCGCCGTTTTGAGGCGGCACGTTGGAGAAGGCAGCGATGCGCTCCTCGATGCGCTGCTCGCACAGTGGGAGGCATGGGGGTGCATTGGGGTGCATGGGGGTGCATTGGGGTGCATTGGGGTGCATGGGGGTGCATGGGGGTGCATGGGGGTGCATGGGGGTGCATGTAGCTGCATGGGGTTGCAAAGGGATGGATGGGTGTGAATGGGGTTGCATGGGGGCGCATGGGGGCGCATGGGGGCGCATGGGGTTGCATGGGGGGGTGGTCCATTCACAACAGAGAAAGTTGATGGATTCAGAACAACCAGAAGCAGTGGATAAGACGATGAAACGGTGAAAAGAGACACAACAGCAGAACTGTATTGTGCAGCGCAGCGCTGTGCAGTGCGGGGGCAGCAGACCTTGACGAGGGGTTGGGCGGAGTCGGAGTGCGAGAGGAACATGCCGCTGCTCGTGCGCACCTCACTGCGGTAACTCTGGCGGGTGAGATGGGCGCGCACCCACTCATGCACATGCACGCAGCACACACACGCGTTCAAGCACACATTCAAACACATTCACATGCACGCATACACATGCACATGCACGCATACACATGCACATGCACGCATGCACATGCACATGCACATGCACGCACACACGCACAGGCACGCACACACGCACAGGCACAGGCACACACCCACGCGCACGCGCACGCACACGCACACGCACACGCACACACGCACACACACACACACACACACACACACACAACACACACACACACACACACACACACACACACACAAGGATATGCAACCACGCACAGACACACACGCACGCAAGCACACACACCAGATGCAAACATTCATACATGCACACAAACAGACACATGCACGCGCGCATGCACACAGGTACCCGCACTCACGCACATGCACAAACGCACACTGACACATGCGCGCACACATGCGTGGAAGTACATAAGCACACACAATACAGTAATACATAAGCATGCATGGAGACATGCATATATGTGCACACGCACACTCCGCTCCAATAAAAACGAGGGATGGGAAGGAGGAGATGAGGTGACAAAGTTGCATGGAGGAGAGAATTGGCATTTCAAGTTGAGGGTGGTCAGAGGGAGGGTGGGATGTGAAGAAAAGGGAAAATGAGGAGAGGAAGGGATGAGATCGGAGAGAAAAAGAAGGAATAAAATGAGAGAACGAAAGAAACAAAGCAGGAGAAGACAGACGGGGAGGATAAGAAAGCTGGACAGGGGGCGCAGAGAAGTGCGAGAGGGAGGGTGTGAGCGTGCCTTGCCGGAGGAGGAGTCAACAACGGTGGATGACTCAAGGGCCTTCCTCGCCATCGCCTTGAGCGCCTCACACTCCTGCCACCCCCCACATGCCACCCCCACATGCCACCCCCCACATGCCACCCCCCACATACCACCCCCCGCATGCCACCCCCCACATACCGCCCCCCACATGCCACCCCCCACATACCACCCCCCACATGCCACCCCCCACATACCACCCCCCACATACCACCCCCCACATACCACCCCCCACATACCACCCCCCACATACCACCGCCCACATACTGTCAGAATTTGAGCTTAGAATCCATGCATTAGTAATGACTAATGAGCTCGAAGCTCTTTAAGTACATCCAGGATGGGCAAGGAAAGGATGGGGAAGGGAATTGGGGGCAATCTCTAGGGATTGGGGGAATCCCAAGGCAATCTCCAATTGGTGGGTTGGAGATTGCTTGGAGATCACATTTAGGTTTGGTTGAGATGTAGGTTTACACGCAACCAAACACAAAGTGCAAACTACACTACGCTAGGATATAGAAAGTACAAATACAAAGTGTGAGAGTGAGGGCTAACACTAACACCCCCCCATAGACGTCAATCGAACTCAGGGCAGAGAAGGTTGATCGCGGAGCCCCATGGCGCCAAGAAGACAATGGTGAGGAACTTTCCCAAAGGGCTTGGTGAAGAGATCAGCCAAGTTGCAGTCAGATGCAACGTACTCCACGTTCAACTGCTCCCACTGGACAAGGTTACGAATGAAGAAGTGCCGAAGTTCGATGTGCTTGGTGCGAGTGTGATACACGGGGTCCTGTGAGAGGTGGATTGCGCTCTTGTTGTCACACCAGAGGGTGGGGGTGGGCTGAGGGTAGCCAAGCTCCTGGAGGAGGAAGGTGAGCCAACGGGCCTCTTGAGCCGCCATGGTGCCAGCGTAGAGCTCTGCCTCACATGAGGAGAGGGAGACTGCAAACGACCTGGTGGAGCGACAGCTGACAATTCCGCTCCCAAGGGTGAAGCAGTAGCCCTGGGAGGAGCGTCGGTCGGTCTGGTCATCAGCCCAAGAGGAGTCAGTGTAACCTTCCAGTCGAGGAGGAGAAAGCCCACCAATTGTGTTGTGAGTGCATGAGACTTGGTGCCTTGCAAATAACGCAGCACCCGCTTCGCCGCCTTCCAGTGAAGGTCAGTGAAGCGTCTAGGAGCCACATAGCGAGAGTAGACACTGACAGGGTATGCCAGGTCAGGCCGGGTGCACATCATGGAGTACATGAGGGACCCAACAAGCTCCGGGTATGGCTCAGAGCAGGCCTCTGGTGTGGGTACAGCTGGAGCTGTGGGGAGGTGTTGTCGCGGCAGCGGGGTGGCCATGGGTGTGCACAACTCCATCTCAAAGCGCTTGAGCACGTTGTTGATGTAGAACTCCTGGGAGAGTGAGATGGTGCGAGCCTGGCGATCACGAGTGATCTCCATCCCCAGGTAGTGCTTGAGGTCACCGAGGTCTTTCAGCAGGAGGGCCTTGCTTAGGGCCGCCTGGACAGAGGTCATCTGGGCCGAGTCCTGAGGATGAAGCCATCGACGTAAACAATGATGTACAATGGCTCAGAGTGACGGCGAATGAAGAGAGTCGGGTCAGCCGATGATGAGTGAAAGTCCAATGAGAGAAGGACTTCTTAAACTTTGTTGTGCCATTCATGAGGGGCTTGCTTGAGGCCGTAAACAGGGCGATTCAGCTTCCAGACAGTGTTGGGAGGGAATCTTGGAAAGCCTTCAGGTCGGTCCATGAACACAGTATCCTTGAGGTGTCCTTGCAGGAATGTCGAGGAGGCGTCCATGGATTTGATCTCAAAGTCTTCTCGTGCGGCTACACCCAAGAGCGTGCGAACTGTGGGTGGTTTGGATGTGGGAGAGAAGGTGTTGAAGAAGTCAAAGTACTGCTGCCGAGTGAATCCCTTGGCCACATAGCGCGCTTTGAACACTGGGGCCTCGTCCGGAAGCTGTTTCACTCGAAACAACCACTTGCCCCCAATGATGTTAATTCCTGGAGGTGGAGTTTCGTCGTCGAAGGAGTGGTTGCGAATGAAGGCTTCACACTCAGCTTCCATGGCAGCGCGCCACTCGACAGCATGGGGACCTGAAAGAGCCTCTGGGACGGTGAGAGGGATGGGGATGGTCGGGTTCTCCGAGAAGTTGAGCGAGGGTGATTCAGTGATACCAGGGAAGATGTGCGAGAGCTGAGGAATGACAGCGTGGAGATCACGCAGCTCCTCATGCCTGTCTTCCAGAAGGGTAGAGGGCACATCCCCCCCAGCAGGAGGAGTCGGAGTGATCACTGAGCATCGAATGGCAAGTGCCAATGGAGGAGCAGGCCCATGCGACCGAGTGCCATGAGCCACCGGAGAAGAGGGTGGAGCAGGCGTTCATGGAGGGGTAGGTTTAGGAGGCTTGGGCGGAGGGATCGGCCATCGCTGGTACGTGATCAGTTCGCTCGGTTGTGGGAGAGCAGGTTCCTGAGTGGAGGAGGGAACAGGGGGAGGAGGTGGGGCCGGAGGGTTCGACCGCTGGTATGTGATTGGTGCGCTTGGTGGTGGGAGCGCAGGTGGCAGAGTGGGAGAGGGGGGAGATGGAGGAGCAGATGCCGAGGACACTATTGAGGTCGGGTTAGAGACCTCAGAGGGGGATGGTGCGATGGCAGGACAGGTAGGAGGTGAGGGAGCTGGTGCAGGCGGAAGTTCAGGAGGCGCATCAAAGTTAGCACACACAAGAGAGGGTGGCCCGGAGGGAGGATCCCCCCCCGAGGTGGAGTAGAAGGGGCGAGTCTCATCAAAGACGACATCGCGGCTCTGAACTAGTTGTTCAGTGGAGGGATTGAGGAAAAGGTAGTCAGGGGAGTCAGCGTTATGCCCAAGATAGATGCACGTATGAGTTTTGGGGCCGAGCTTGCCACCTTGCTGCCGCCGAGCCTGGGGGTTGAGGAGGACATAGGCGGTGCACCCCCAGACGCGAAGGGGGCGAGCAGTGGGTGTTTTCCCGAGCCATAGTGTGGTCGGAGTGGTGTCGGGAAAATGCGGGTGAGGGTAAAGGTTGTAGAGGGAGGGCGGCATGGTAGAGGGCGTACCCTCAGAGTGAGAGTGGTGCGTTGGAGTGGCTGAGGAGGCAGCGAGCGATCTGCACCAATGTGTGATTGCGGCTCTCTGCTATGCCGTTCTGCTGCGGGCTGTCAGGAAGGGTGAAGTTTTGCAAAATGCCGAAACAGGAACAGAAGGCTTTGAGCTTGTCGTTGTTAAATTCGCCACCACCATCCGAATGGAGGCGCTTTACCTTGGTCCCAAATGTGGTATGTGCCTGGTTAACCCATGCCATGATGTCCTTTAGAGCCTCAGCCTTCGTGTGGAGGAGGTGCACGGAGACGTAGCGAGAGTGGTCATCAACTATTGCAAGGAAGTAGCGATGGCCGCCTCATGCGGCAACAGGGGCAGGGCCCCAGACATCCATGTGCACTAAGTCCAGTGGAGCTGCTGCAACAGAGGGTGAGGCAGGGTGAGGCTGTTGGAGCAGCTTGCTCTTGGTGCAGTCAAGGCACGTGGGAGCGGGAGAGTCAGGTGGTGGAGGAAGTGAGGCTGGTAGGCCGAGAAGTAGCTTCTTGGAGGCCATGCCCGCAAGCGTGCGGAAGTTTGGGTGCCCGATCCGATGGTGGTAGAGGATTGTCGGGTTAACGAAACTGCGACATGAGCATGGTGTGATAGCAGCCTGTGCTTGGGTGGTTGACACCTGTGGGATAGGTACACGCAACGTGTAGAGGCCACTGCTGTTGAGGGTGAAGCGAGCTAAGACCTAGTTGGTGAGTGGGTTGATGATGTCACATTAGTCCTCGTCTGGAGAGAAGATGGTGAGGACCCCTGCCTCCTGAATCTCTTTTTGAGCCAAAAGATTGTGGCGTAGTGAAGGCACGCACATGCTAGTGACAGTGCCCGATGGGAAGGCGGGGCACGGGACTGTGGACCTTAGTTGCAAAAGACGCGTCCTGCGTCTAAGACGTTGGCGTCCAAGCGTCCTGCGTCTTGGCGAGCGTCCTGCGTCCCAGCGTCTTTTGCAACTAAGCTGTGGACGAACCCTTGGCAAGAGTGGTGAAGCTTGAATCAGCTCCCAAGAGAGGAATGGGTGTTGCGTAGGGTTTGAAGGAGAGTGTCTCTTTAAGCACTGTGTGAGTGGCTCCGCTGACAAGTGTGAATTCTATGTATTGTGGTGCCTGTGGTGATCCGATGTACTGTGAATTTGCTTCATTAATCATGGCAGTGCCAGGGAACAACAAGTTGATGCGCACATCAGCAGGAGCACTATCACTAGCACTAGCCTGAGCGGGGTCGTGTGCCTCAACTAGGTTGGCCTTACGAGGGCGCATCCAATTCGGCGGCTTCTTGTCGACTCAATGGATGGCATACCATTCGTCGTCTTTCTTCTTGAAACACGTAGCAAGGGGGTGGTTAGTGCCACCACACACTTGTCCCTTGCGGTTGCCATACTTGACGACGTAGGTGCATGGAGGGAAGCGGTTGCGCTAAAAGGGCGCCGAGGCGACACTTGCTTGAGGCACGGGAGCACGAAGGGCGTAGGCCTTGGCTTGAGCCGTGGTGTCTTTCTCGACGGAGAGGAGGACGGAGGAGACCTTAGCAAAGGTGAGGTCTTCCGCCGAGGATGTGATGAGCATATTCCTCGTGACTTCGTACGCCGAGGTGAGGCCGACAAGAAGGGCGGCTGCAGGGCTTGTTCGGGAAAGATGATGCCCAGCTTCTTGAGCTCGCCATGGATGGTTTGTACCTTGGCGATGTAGTCGACCATTCCCGGGCAATCCTCAAGGCGGACTTGGAACATACTCGGAATGAGAATGGCCACCCCAACCGTTGTCTTGTTCATGAACCTGTCCGGGGGATGTTTCTAGATGGCGTTGGAAGTGGGGTAGCTGTGTAAAGTGTTGACAAGTTCGGGAGGGTTGGAGCCGATGAAGACGCCAATGATAGCCGCATCGGCCTTCTCCCACTTGCGGTACTTGGCGACAGAGTCCTCGTACTCCTTGGTTGCCATAGCATCGGAGGGATCGGACGGCTCCTTGGGGGTGGGGGGCTGCTTTCTCTTGCCATGGTTGAGGAGGACGTCCTTGAGGTCCAATCCATGCATCTCACGGCTCAGGAGGTGCTTGTCAACCCCGTAGCTCCATGCCTTGAAGTTGGAGCTAGTGCCGTCGACTTCAAGGCGGAGCGGGGTGATGGGATTGGCGAGGGTGGCCGAGGCGAAGGCCATGATGAAGCGCCGCTCTTAAGTCACCGATAGGAACTTCGGTAACGTCGACGACTACTAACCCTACTTCCCCCCCCCCCCCGCCCTGTCCCTCAGCTTCGCGGCTTCGCTGCTACATATTTGCTCGGCTACACCTGTTCAGCTGCAGGGCGATAGAAGTGCCGATGCGGGGCGATGGGCGGCAGCCCGAAGATGACGATGCGGGGCGACGGGCGGCAGCCCGAAGGTGACGCTGCGGGGCGACGGGCGGAAGCCCGACGATAAGTTGCAGGGCGGCGGGCGGCGGCCCGACGAGGAGGAGAAAAGGCGTGTAGTAGTTTGACGAAAAGTGCGATCAGTAAAAGCGCGACGATGCGCTTACCAGAGAAGTCGCGGAAGTCGTCTAGATTGTAGGGAGATTGGCGCAGGAAGATTTCCGGCCAAAGATGTCGCGAATCACCGGCGACGGGATTGATGGCGGCTACGCCGAAGAGTGCGGGACAAGAGTTCGCAGAGATACGAGGATCACGACGCATGTGTGCAGTTGAAACGCTCCGATACCATGTCAGAACTTGAGCTTAGAATTCATGCATTAGTAATGAGCTCGAAGCTTTTTAAGTACATCCAGGATGGGCAAGGAAAGGATGGGGAAGGGAATTGGGGGCAATCTTTAAGGATTGGGGAAATCCCAAGGCAATCTCCTATTGGTGGGTTCGAGATTGCTTGGAGATCACACTTGGGTTTGGTTGGGATGTAGGTGTACACCCAACCAAACACAAAGTGCGAAATACACTACGCTAGGATATAGAAAGTACAAATACAAAGTGTGAGATTGAGGGCTAACACTAACACATACCACCCCCCACATGCCCCACACGCACGCGGTGCAACACACACGATGGCTCCCATCCATCCACAACCTCAACTGAACCACACATGAGCATGCGGCAAGGCTCGAGGCAAACTCATGACAGGTTTACAGACGAGCTGTAGTTGCTCGTCCCATAGCAGCTGGGTTGGGTCTTAGATCCAGTGCGGTGACGAGCGGTAAGTACCGGCGAATTGGTTGGGATTTTTGGGGCCAACGAATTTGACGGGGAGGAAGGGGTGCCTGGCGTTCCTCACAGTTAGTGGCGAAAACAGGTCAACCGGCGAAATCGCCGATCAGCACAAAGCGCGGGGGAAACCGGGTTTCCGGTAACCGACCCGACCTCAGGTCGGCCCGACCCAAGGTCGGGTCAGGTAAAACCCGGCCCTGTACCCCCAGGTCGGGTCAGGGTCTCCAACATCCTGGCCCGGGGTTGACCCGACCCGACCCGGCCCGGAAACCCGCCTGGCCCGGCCAAGTCGGGTCGTTCGGGCCGGCTGCTGATGCGCGTATGCAGCACGACTGACCTGCCAGCCGAGGAAGGACTGACCTGCCAGCTGAGGAAGGACTGACCTGCCAGCTGAGGAAGGACTGACCTGCCAGCTGAGGAAGGACTTACCTGCCAGCTGAGGAAGGACTGACCTGCCAGCTGAGGAAGGACTTGAGGAGAATCACCCGAGGCTCCCAGCTGACCACCTCTGGGATCACCTGCGCGGTTTGGAGACAGCAGCGAGCAGCAAAGAGCAGCAGAGAGCAGCAGAGAGCAGTGAGCGAGAGGTGCAGGACGGTGCAGGTGGTGAGACAGAGGCCATGGGCTGGCTGATATGGTGTGTGTGAGAAGAGCGTTGCTGACCAATCACTTGCAACCACTGCCCCTCCGAGCCCGCACTGCCCCTCCCAGCCCGCACTGCCCCTCCCAGCCCGCACTGACCAGGCCGAGCCTGAGGCGCTCTGCTGTGCGCCTGTCCGCCCCTGCCATCTCCCACACCGCCCTCATCGCCTCCTCCCCTGCCATGTCACACACACGTGGCATCCAATTGTCATCATTTGAGGAGCAGTGTGGCACAGCACAGGGACTGCATGAGATGGAAGCAGGGACGCCGTGCCACACACAGGGCTCACTGAAGCATGTGAGAGAAGAGAGGAACCTGCAGGGCGGCATTCGCGCACTGCTCCACCAACCAACAATGACTCACCCGCACCCACTCCCTACACCCACCCTCCCATCCATTCGCCCACACCAACTTGGCCCCATCCACCCGTTCCCACCCACTTCCCCAACCCCCTTCCCCCGCCCCTTTCCCTACTGTGCTGTGCCTCTGGCAGCTCCACCCCGCGCGTGGCATGGCTGGCAGCACCGCCTGCAGCGCGGAGCAGAGGGGGCGGGGGGGAAGAGGGGAGCGGGGGGGAGGAAGCAGAGCAGGGAGAGGGGAGATGGAGGCACTGCAGTGACGGCGGGGAGTGACGTGACGTGCCACCAGCGTTGCACGCTTCTATTCTAGAAACCACCCTTCCCCCCTGTGCTACCCGACCGCTCTGCCGTGCGACCCACCACGTTCCTCTCGAGCCTCCTCCCACTTGCCTCCTTCCATCCCTGCTTCCCCCATCCTCACTTCACAAGCCGTCATGCCATCTCATACCACATCATGCCTTCTCATACCACATCATGCCTTCTCATACCACATCATGCCATCTCATACCACATCATGCCATCCCATACCACATCATGCCATCTCATACCACATCATGCCATCCCATACCACATCATGCCATCTCATACCACATCATGCCATCTCATACCACATCATGCCATCTCATACCACATCATGCCATCTCATACCACATCATGCCATCCCATACCACATCATGCCATCTCATACCACATCATGCCATCCCATACCACATCATGCCATCTCATACCACATCATGCCATCTCATACCACATCATGCCATCTCATACCACATCATGCCATCTCATACCACATCATGCCATCCCATACCACATCATGCCATCTCATACCACATCATGCCATCCCATACCACATCATGCCATCTCATACCACATCATGCCATCTCATACCACATCATGCCATCTCATACCACATCATGCCATCTCATACCACATCATGCCATCTCATACCACATCATGCCATCTCATACCACATCATGCCATCTCATACCACATCATGCCATCCCATACCACATCATGCCATCTCATACCACATCATGCCATCCCATACCACATCATGCCATCTCATACCACATCATGCCATCTCATACCACATCATGCCATCTCATACCACATCATGCCATCTCATACCACATCATGCCATCTCATACCACATCATGCCATCCCATACCACATCATGCCATCTCATACCACATCATGCCATCCCATACCACATCATGCCATCTCATACCACATCATGCCATCTCATACCACATCATGCCATCTCATACCACATCATGCCATCCCATACCACATCATGCCATCTCATACCACATCATGCCATCCCATACCACATCATGCCATCTCATACCACATCATGCCATCTCATACCACATCATGCCATCTCATACCACATCATGCCATCTCATACCACATCATGCCATCTCATACCACATCATGCCATCTCATACCACATCATGCCATCCCATACCACATCATGCCATCTCATACCACATCATGCCATCCCATACCACATCATGCCATCTCATACCACATCATGCCATCTCATACCACATCATGCCATCTCATACCACATCATGCCATCTCATACCACATCATGCCATCCCATACCACGTCATGCCATCTCATACCACATCATGCCATCTCATACCACATCATGCCATCTCATACCACATCATGCCATCTCATACCACATCATGCCATCTCATACCACCACATCATGCCATCTCATACCACATCATGCCATCCCATACCACATCATTCCATCACATGCCATCATGTCATGTCGGTATGCCCTTGAGAGTGGGATGCATGCACCACATCCTCCACAGTAGCACACAAACCCCTTGCAGCACCACATCACACCCCACCACACCGCACCCACCATGCCGCTTAGCCTGAGGGTCGATCCACGAGACAAGGGCGAGCAGAGCAGCTAGCGGGGGGAGGGAGAAAAGCGAGGAGGGGAAGGGGAAAGAGGGGTGGGGTGAGGGGGAAGAGGCACAGCAGCAGCGACGAGAACCAGGCGGGCAGCGAAGGAATGCGCGCCGAATGACAAGCTATGGACAGCGCGATGCGCGACCACTGCGCTGCGCGACGAGCGTTCACGTGACGCACGGCGAGCGAAAAGTAACCGAATCGCCAATCAGCACGCGCGCACCGGAAACGGCGCAGAGCGCGGCGAGAAACAGGAGGCGAGCTACGGCAGCGGCCAGCCACTTCCCGACTGTCGCAGAGGGACTCGCGCGCGATTGGATGATGAGACCCATGCGCACGCGGAGGTGCTGGCTGGAGTGGCGCAAACCAAGGGTTGCCTACAGAATGTTCGTTTCAAGTACGATCGAGACTCAGGGAGGGACTGGTTGCGACTAGCTGGGTTGCGATGGGTTCAGGTTCGGTTCGATTGGAACGAAAGACGAACACGTGTCGATGTTTTGCTCGCTGATTTCGTAGCAGTTCAACCCAAACATTCGACTCAATATTTAGTTACCAGTGACGCCACGTGTGGAGCCCAGCGCGAGCTCTTGTGCGAGATGCACGAAATATCGTAACAGATATCACTTTTGCTCGCGACAATAGTCTTCAGTGGGTATTTTTTCTAACGACAGACGGATTCCCCTCACTCGATCATTTGCAGAATCCTTGGATGGCAAAGTAGGCAACTTGGCTTCAAGCTCGTGCTGTGACACCCCGTGACCCCGCTCCCTAGTCCGTGAATTAGTCGCTTTATTACGCGAACGACCTTTCATACTTTATTTCCTCACGCGCCCAGTGACGTCACTACAATCCTTTGAATGGAGAGGGATGGTCCACCGTCAACCAGCTCGCCTCTGCGCACCGACCCAGTTGTGCCGTTCACCCCGTTACTAGCAGTCCCGCTGCGTTTTTAGTCACCGCGTCAGTCGCTGATACTGCGTTCGTTTGCCGTCTCAATGCCTCTTCGGGCCGTTCTACAATAGAAAAACCGCGAAACAGTCGTATCAGAGCGCTATCAGACAATCTCCCGCACAGCGTCGATGAGGCTGAGCGCGATTCGGTAAGGTTAGGCTCTGAATATCAATGGCTTTATTCGCAAGAAGTTCTTGTGAGCTTAGCCTTCTTATATTTGTTTTAGCTTTCTTTTGAATTCGTTACGCGCTATAATCGGATGAGCGCCGAGCAGCAGGCCCTGATGAGACCTCGGTGCACAATCATTCATCGTTCGTGTTGTCCCCGTTACAATCTCAAGAGAGCTCGTTCGCAACAAGTGCCGAAAAACGTGGCCTCCTCCGAGAGAGCCTGTGCAGTCCCTCTACTCTTGAGCGTATCCGCATGGAGCTCTTCGTTTCACTGCATCCGTCCCCGTTACACGATCACAAGGCCGCGCGAGCAGCAGGCGCTGATGGACGTGCAGCTCGGCGCGCATGCCATGGACTCCCTCTCACCACCCTCTACCGCTCCCTCGCACTCACCTTTCAGGTCCCCCATCCACCCTCTCCTTCTCACTCCACATCCTCACTATATGCTTCTCAGCGTTGTCTCCAGGTAAGCACTTTCTGGGTCCGTTATTGACGAACGTTGACATGCTCGCTGAAAGGACTGTAGAACCGGCCACGAGGTTCAAGGCTCATTGTACCGGCCACGAGGTTCAAGGCTCATTGTACCGGCCACGAGGTTCAAGGCTCATTGTACCGGCCACGAGGTTCAAGGCTCATTGTACCGGCCATCTTCCCACCAGCCTTCAATTGTAGAAGCTCGTCAACCCCTTTTTACCTCTTCTGTGTCTCCTCTGTCCCCCATTCCAAACGTAATCTCCACTGTCCGTTTTCCTTCTCTCAGGATCTGAAGAGGGCGTGGGATGCCACGTGGAGGGCCAGAGACGCACAGGTGGCAGCTCTCCTTCCTCTCATTGGTTGGTACATTCATAACATTGTGGTGTTAGAGTTAGTGTTTCTTGGCACAGTATTATATCATAATCTGCGTCATTACGCCCTGGAACCCTGCATGCACGCGCAGCTCGCCACATGCTGCTGGTCCCTCCCACACCTCCCTTTCCCTCCCCCCCCCCCCCCTCTCCCCCCCTTGCCCCTCCTGCCGTACCTGCCATGCCGTCATGCAGCCACATGGCAGCGTGCACCACAGCACGTCATGCAGCCACATGGCAGCGTGCACCACAGCACAGCACGTGCTGCTGGTTGCACAGCACATCTCCCTTTCCCCACCCCGCAATCACACATGCATCGCCTCCCGCACTCCCCCTCTCACCTCGCCCCACCCCCCCGTGCCCCGCCCTACATGCCTGCATGCCAGCACAAGAAGACGTGCAGCACAGGCAACGTGCTGGGTTGTCATCTCCCTTTCCCCACTCCACAACCGCACCTGCATCGCCTCCTCACCTCCCCCCCCGCGCCCCCGTCTCTCTGCCATCATGCCACCACACGGCGGTGTGCAGCACAGCTCGCCGGGGCTGCTGGGTCCCCTTCCTCTCTCATGCATGCATCCTCATCGCCTCCCCTTCAATGCCCTCTCCCCATCCCCCCCCCCCCCCTCTTTGCCTGCAGGCCACCACATGGTGGTGTGCAGCACAGCTCGCCACAGGCTGCTGGCACTTGACACACAGCTGTAGCACTGCACGGTGGGGTGGGGTGAGGTGGGGTGGGTTGGAGTGAGATGTGGTGGAGTGGAGTGGGTGGGGTGACATACGGTGGTTGCGTGTAGGATTAGGGATTTCCTGTCAAGGTTATGGTTTAGGCCACCACACGACAACGCGTGGCACTGGACGCACAGCTGCAGCACTGCATGGTAAGGGTGGATTGGAGTGGAGTGCAGTGAGGGTTCTGCAGTTGGAGTTTTGCAGTCAGGCCATGCTGTTGCGGTTTGGTTGCTGGTGCAGCGGGATACACGACTGCAGCACTGCATGGTGGGGTAGCGTGGGGGTGTTGTTTTGTTAGGGATATGTGGTTTTTCTGCAGTTAGGTTGTGTGTAGGGTTTCTGTGGGGTTATCCCCTCTTCCCTCCACGACCCACCTTCCCTCAATCCACCCTCTTTTCTCCACGCTTCGCGTTCCCTCTACCCACTCGAACTCCTTGTTCGCCCACCGCCTCTTCCTCACCTCTCCCCGTCTTCCACTCCTCCCACCCTCTTCCTCACTCCCACTCTCTTCTCCGTCTCTTCTCCTTCTCTTCTCCCTCTTTTCTCCTTCTCTTCTCCCTCCCACCTGCAGCTGCAGCTAGGCAAGGACCTTCCTCTGACCCGCGTCCTCTCTGTCGCTTCTCCTACCGCTAGCTGCAGCAGCCAGCAGCTGGGCAAGGGCAGCTTTGGAACCGTTTTTCGTGGGCAGGTGGACAGAAGGCTGGGAGAGGTGTTACGTGGCAGCAGGAGAGAGGTGGCTGTGAGCTTCATACGGAAAGCATGAAGGCGTTTGATGACTGCCTGGTGAGCGGCGTGTGAAAGGAAGGAATGAGTAGGGGGGAGTGGGGAGAGTGAGCTAAAAAGGGGGAGAGATGGAGGTAGAGGGAATTGGATGGGCTTGGGAGAGGGGGCGTTGAAGGTGCTTCATACTGACAGCGTCAAGGCATTTGACGACTGCCTGGTGAGAGTCGAGAGCGTGATGGGTGAGGAGTGAGGAGTAAGGCAAGTGAGGGATGGGCGTGGGGGATTGTATGGCGGTAAACGTGCTTCTCACTGAGTGACAGAGTGAAGGCGTTTGATGGGTCATGACTTTTTAGGCACATCGTTTGATGAATCCTGACTGCCTGGCTGTTGAGTGAAGTGAAAGGAAGGAGTGAGTAGGGCGGAGTGAGGAGAAAGAAAGGGGAAGCGTTACTGAAGTGGGAAAAGAATGGGCTTGACGGAACGGAAGAGGGGGCATTGAAGATGCTTCACACAGATGGTGTGAAGGAAATTAGCATGGTGAAAGGCGAACGAAATGCCTAGTGAGGGCCGAGAGCGTACTGAGTGAGTAGGAATGAGCGAGGCAAGAGAGGGATGGGCATGGTGCAATGCGTGAAGGCGTTTGATGACTGTTTGATGAGAGGAGAAAGCGTAATGAGGCAACAGAGCTAAAGGGGTGGGGGGGAATGCGGAAGAGGGAAAGGATTGGGGGAACGGAAGAAGGGCCATTCACGATTTCCTTCACACACAGACAGCGTGAAGGAAATTAGCGGGTATATATGGGGGGTCGGCAGGGAAGAAAGGGGGCAGAAGGGTGGAGAGGGATGGAGGAAGGGATTTGAGGGGAAGGGAGGACATGGTTGAAGTAATCTGCAGCCTTAGTCCCTCACCTTGTGTTCTGATCCACCCGTACATCATGCAACTGCGTTTTGAGACGCCTAACAAGTTTCATGTATATTCCTTCCTAGTGAGTATTAAGGGAGTTGCAACTTCTGATACGTCTAGTGTTTCCTATTATTTTCGCCCTTTTACTGAATATAAGGTTGGTAACAGCACAATTAAGGTAAGAGTGACACCCCCGGCCTCCTCTCGCTCCTTTTCCCCTACACACGGTGCATCTACTGTCTCACAGGCGGAGATCCTAGTGTTTGGCGATCTGAGCCACCCCAACCTGGAGCGGCTGTTGGGGTACTGCATTGAGGGCAACACTGTTGCGCTCCTCTCCCTTGCATCCCCTCCCTTTCCCTTCTCTCATTGTGCATCTCTCGTCTCCCCCTCCCCTCATTGTGCACCTTTCACCCCACAGGCGGTGATCCTAGTGTTTGGCGATCTGAGCCACCGCAACCTGGTGCAGCTGCTTGAGTACGGCATGGAAGACTGCACTGCTGTGCTCCTCTCTCGCACCCTCCTATTCCCCTTCCTCCCCCTCCCCCCCCCTTCCCCCCACTGCACATTCCTCTACCTCTTCCTCTCCCTCTCCCATTCCTCTCCCTCTCCCATTCCTCTCCCTCTCTTCCACCACGGGACAGAGATCCTAGTGCTGGGCGATTTGAACCACCCCAACCACCCTAAACCTAGTGCAGCTGCTGGGGTACTGCATTGAGGACGGCCGGGCGATTCTGGTGTATGAGCTGGTGGAGCGGGGCGACCTGCACCACTGGCTTCTCCCCGACGGTGAGTTTCCACTTTTGTGCATGGAAAGAAGAGGATGATGAGGGTGTGGGAACGTAGGTTGACTTGAAACAGCTCTGGTTTATGGCTCATTGGGAAACAACTGGCCTGCATGGTGCTGGGATGCATGGTGCTGGGATGCATGGTGCTGGGATGCATGGTGCTGGGATGCATGGTGCTGGGATGCATGGTGCTGGGATGCATGGTGCTGGGATGCATGGTGCTGGGATGCATGGTGCTGGGATGCATGGTGCTGGGATGCATGGTGCCGGGCGGCATGGTGCTGGGCGGCATGGTGCTGGGCGGCATGGTGCTGGGCGGCATGGTGCTGGGCGGCATGGTGCTGGGCGGCATGGTGCTGGGCGGTATGGTGCTGGGCGGCATGGTGCTGGGCGGCATGGTGCTAGGCGGCATGGTACTGGGCGGCATTGTGCTGGGCGGCATGGTGCTGGGCGGCATGGTGCTGGGCGGCATGGTGCTGGGCGGCATGGTGCTGGGCGGCATGGTGCTGGGCGGCATGGTGCCGAGCCGCCAGTCAGCGTTGATAGGCCAGTCCACGCGGTGTTGATGCCCTCCTTCTTTGGGAAAGGATTGGGCTGCATGCTGCTGGGATGAATGGTCAAGAGTTGGTGAACGACGCATGCGGCCTATTGAAGCCAAGCTGAGGACGCGTCACAATTGCAACACCGGGGAGGATCGGGATCAAACACTGAAAATGGGAGCATCGCTCGTGGAACAGCCTGTTTCAATCTGCGTGAGCAGTGTCGGCTGCTCTCCCCGAGCCATTTGGGATGCGACCGGAATTGCATGTGGGGGACCTCCATGCCAACTGTACACCCAGATGCCAGGGCGTCGCATTGCTTCGCTGGTGAGTCATAACATTTCGCCATGCTTGTGACGACGCGCACAATCTCGCCCTGTAACCGCATCGACGCTGGCCGACTGTATGCGACGGCGATCAATCGTGCCCATCACTGGTGGCGCGTTTTCGATTCCCACTCTGCCAATCGCACGATCGATGTGGCATTTCAAGCCATCCGATCTCGGCAATCGGAAAGTGCAAGATTGTGGCAGCAAGATCGGCGGCGTCAAACGAATATAGACGAAAAAAGGGATACACAGCTTTTACGAATTGGCGAAGACACTGTACATTGTGCACACCGATCCCTCACAGGATCGGTGTTGCAATTGTGACGCGTCCTGATGCTTCATTGCAAAAGAAGTGGGTCCGTTCAGTCTATTTTTGTGTGTGTGAGCTCCCTAAAGTTAGGATGACGTTGTCATCTTTCTCTCTCCATTCTGTATCCCTTCCTTACCCCTCCCCTCCCCTCCCCTTCCCCTTCCCGTTGCTTCCCCTTTCCCTCCTTTTCCCCTACCCTTGCCCTCCCCTTTCTCTTCCCTCTCCCTGCCCTCTCCCTTCCCTTTCCATCTCGCTCCCCTCCTTTTTCCCTCCCGTTTCCTTCCCTCCCCTTCCCCACTCCTTCCCCTCCCCTTCCCTCCCCCTCCCCTCCGCCTCCCCTTCCCTCCCCTTCCGACCCCCCTCCCCTTCCCGTTCCCTTTTCCGCTCCCCTAAGTTGGCAGATACACATTAAAGAAGGGGGCGTATCACGTATAAACATTTTCATGCATATGAAATACAACAGAAATCGCTCCAACTTGGTCAGGCAGCCTGCGGGAAAAAAAAATCAACAACTTGAAAATTGCAACAATTTGCAAATGTCATTGATTGTACTTCTGCATCACAGAGAGACCAACGCCAATCTGAAATTCAAATATCGAACTCCAAATCTTGCCCCAACCTCAACCATACACCAACAGCCCAATCCCCCAAACCCAACCTTCCCTCCACCTTTCACTTGTCCACAGCTCAGGTCCACAAATGTTGCAAGGCTCATTCATTCCCGCATTTCTCAGTTTCCTATCATACATCTGTGCTCAATCAGTGTAGCCTTAGCTTCAGTTGTTGCACCCCAAGGCGAGATCCACCCCCTCGGCGTCCAACAATGGAACGTCAGTCGAAGGATGTAGTGATAGCTACAAGGGTGCTTATGCGAACTCCATCCATCTTAGGAAATTTTAGGACATATGCAAAGAGATTGAAGGAAATCTGTATCATTTGATAGTGATGAACAAGTTTTGGGGAAGGGTATCTTGTTCCCCTACTCCACAACCCTACAACAGGCTTTTCCCCCCCTGCCCAGAAATCGTTGTTTTTTGTCCGCTCCAGCAAATTGTCGAGCATTGATAGGCAGCATTGACCTTCTCCACCAGCTGTCATCGCTCCCCTCTTATTATCACCCTTACTTTTCATGGCTCAATCCCCTTCTTCCCGTTCCCCCTCCTTCTTCTCTCCCCTCCCCCCTTCCCTCCCCACCAGCTGAACCACTGCATCGACTCACACATGCCACACTTCTGTCTGACCTTCACTCCACTCCCCACCCACTTTTACCTTTCTGCCCCCCTCCTCTCGTTCCCCCTGCCCTTCCTCCATCTCCCTTCTCATACCAGCTCATCAACAGCATCAACTTACACATGCCTCAATCTATTGGAGGGTGATCCACGGGATTGTTTGCTTGTTGTAGAAGGGAAACTTGACGACCCCCTCCTTTCCAGCTGGGTCGCTGCAGCCTGTATTGACTAACACGTGCATCGATGCAGGCAGGGTGAGGGGAGAGTGCGCATATCGTTCGGCATCTTAGGTTTGAGTGGATTGTTTTGTGCGGCATTATTATTATACTATACTGTTCACCTCCTACTTACCTCATGCGTGCCAGAGAATGGGCCATAGGGGTGGGTGACGCAGCAACATGTGTGACGTATACCCTTTCCCATGCAGGCACATGCCCACTCCTGCTTTACCTCTACCCTCCGTCCCATGGATCATGTTGGAATAACCGAAAGGCTCTCTCCTAGCGCGCCACTTCATAACGAAGCAGCGCCACTGTACCAGTACCGCTATAGCTCATATAGAGCACGCGGCAGCTCGAGAGTCAACCGAAGATCAACAGTCGCTGTAAGTCAACGGTCGCGACGGTTGACCATCCAGCAAATGCATAAGAGCTTACGCGATGCAGTTGGTAACTGTTGAGAATGGCAATAGTCGCAGTTACTGTAGCTATGCAATGCAGTTAAATAAGGGAATGTACCCCTCAGAGTACATGGCTAGCTAGTTTGCTATTTATAGCCTTGTATCTCTATCTTTTAATTGTCTTGTACTCTTTCAATTTCATTAACAAGGTTTCTACAAAGACTTCATTGTCTTCCTATAACTTAGCAGTCTTATCCTATCCACTACGATTCCCGGTTTATATCAACATGGTATGAGAGCTAGAGTGGATTATAAGACCTGCCAAGTTCTTGTTCTTCCTAGAACAAACTCTTTATAATCTTATTCATTAAATTACCTATCACAGGTCTGCACCACTATGGCTCCTGGAGGAAAAGCCACAGCAAACTCTCCGGGCCCACCACCACCAGCAACGACTACTGCGCCATCAGAAGTGACTTCTGTCAGCGCCGCTCTCGTTGAGCAGCTTGTCTCCCGCATCAATGCTTTTGAGAGCCATCAAGCCATGAGCATCGACGGCTCAAGCTTCGCAAGAGGAGTTGCTGGAATGCCTTTCCCGGGAGAAGACCACCGCGTCAACTCCGATAAATCTTTTACCTTTGACAACGGTCAAGCTTCAGCTCCTGCGCACGACAGTCAACAACGCGCACATACAGAGGCAATCGCAACTATGCAAACGAAATTTGTGTTGACCTCAAAGCTGAAAACTTCAACACAATTTGACGGCAAGGATTTCTACACGTGGAGCCTCGAGTTTGAGCTCCTCGCAACAACGGCGCAGATCTGGATGTACTACGACGGGAGCTCGCCTTTTCCGTCGGAAGGAACCATCAAGGAGAAGAATCATTACTACCACGAGTCCCTCCTCGCGTACACCGCTCTTCTCCGAAACCTCTCCCCCGCCGAGCAACTTGGCATCCGCTCTTTCAAATCAGAGTGGGCACCCGCGCAAATGTCCTGGGAGCACATGCGAAATTCATACATGGCAACAGATCCAGTTATCATGAGTCGCCTGCTCAATCAACTGACATCAGTTAAAATGCAACAAAGGGAGAAAGCGGGACCGTATATCAATCGGTGTCGCAATCTGCGCGACCACATCAAGAAGTGTGGCGGAACCGTTACCGACGACATGTTCATCTCGATGGTTCTTTCTGGACTTGGACCCAATTGGCGTCAGTGCCAGTCGTTGCTCCGCGCTTGAGCAACTTTTCCCGAGTCCGCTCTTTGCGCCACACTCCTTTCCGAGCAGAAGGAGATTGATCTGTACAACGAGAAGAACAACAAGAGAGAGAAGTTAGTGTTCTTCACTGGAGCAACTGAAGGGGAGCGACACGGAAAGAAGGGAACCTTCTGCAAATATTGCAAGAAACCAGGTCACACCATAGATCGGTGCTACAAGCGATAGGCTGCTGACGAAAGGCGCAACAACTCATCTGGTCAACAGCCCTCGGCGCCGTCCTCAAATCCAGCAGCGGCAACAATGTCACCGCCCTCCGTTGCGAGTACCTCCCAAACCCCTGCACGCATCTCGTCCAAAGACAAAGGCAAGGGGTCAATACTCATGTGCATGGTACGCCGCAGAGGCATTCGATACTACGACGGGGTCGAATACCCACCGATCACGCCCTTTCCCCCGATAAAACCAACCCCAGACAACGATCCCACGACCAACTTCTGGGGCGAAACATTAAATCTCCTACCTGACTTCGAACTCCCACCGAGCACACCGGAGTCTCCTCCCAGCTTCCCCGCAAGGAGCTACATCGACCACTCGCCTTACTCCGGAGACCTCGACCGCATCATCACTCTAAAGATTGATGGCATCGCGCGTCAGAGCCCCGAGAACTTCAACACTTGGTATCTTGACAGCTGCTGCGGGCAACACATGGTGGGATCACCAACATTCATCAGCGACCCAAGGCGCATGCGGCGACCCTGTGAAATCACTGTCGCCAACAACAACCGACTGAAAGCATACGACATCGGAGAAATTTACCTTGAAGCCATGGATACCCGCTTCACCATTCACATCGGAGACGTGTTGGTCGTTCTCGATCTGCAGTACAACCTGCTCTCGTCAGCACAACTCATGAGGTGCGGAGTTGACATTCGAAGCAACTCCAAGGAGAGAAGCTTTGAACTGATCTACAAGAACACTTACATCGGAAAGTCAGTTGACAACGACGGAGTCTTCGTATTGAACTTCATGGCGGAAGGCACGATAGGCGACTCCGAACGGACTCTCCTGCTGAAGACGACACCCACTGAGGCACCGACTTGGTCGCACCCTGAGGAAATGGACCTCGAGCGCCCCGCCTTAGACGGACTTCTTCGCCTGCGCGCCGTCCCAACTGCTTTGACCTCCAATCCCAGAGATACCGGACCTGCAACAATGGAACAGGAGGAAGACAGCAAGAAGTCAGCAACAGCAGAAGCTGACACTTGAGGGTGGGGAGAAACTGCTGGTACCGGATGGGGCGTAACAGGACCGGTCTCACCCAGCTGGACCACTCCCAGTCCTACCGTCGGTGCTTGGGGAGTCGTCCAAACACCAGAAGAAGGAGCTGCTACAGGAGGCGGTCGGGGGACTTCAGCTTCCGAAAGCGGATGGGGACCCCCAAGCTCTCCTTATCCCGAGGCTCCATCACTTCCCCCTGCAGCGGTGGCGGAGATAGACCCGTACTGGGCGACCCACGGAACAAGTTGGGGCGGACCCCCTCTTCCAGATTAGTATGCTCCTGACACACCAGAGGAAACAAAAGAGGAGTCTGAAGAAATGACTTACGAATTTGGAGGAGCAGTAGAGTTACCTGAACCTACCGAGGGAGCGCTGCCGCCAGTACAAGGACCCCAGCTGATCTCGGTCACTGGCGACGAATACCTCTATCATCGTATTCCAATGGAAGGACTTCCCGCTTCCGAGTGGCCCGAGGCGGCACGACTTCCGGCACGACTTCCGCGACCACTCGTCACCGGCGACCCAATTCACATCGCCGATACGGACGACATCGCCGGAATCCTCGACGCCATCCTGGAACGAGTCTCCGCCCGAGCCTTCGCAGCTGATGTGAGTGCCGCCACCAACAAGGGACCTGAAACGGAGCAGCGAGATGAAGCAGAGAGAAACAAATATTATCAGAAGACCGTCGGTTACCGAGCAGAACAAAAACATTGGCATCAATGATTCGGACACCCCTCCCACGTCACGCTAAAAAACTCCATCAAAGCCGGAGTCTTCGACTCAGATGCACTACTACTTCCCAGGGGTGGGGCCCTCACAGCAACTTCAGACGACCCGCTGTGCACCGTCTGCCCCACCGCATCCCTCGCTCACAAGCCCTTCCCCGAATTGCCTCCTGGCTACGAACGCTACCAACCACTTGAAAAATTCTACAGCGACTTCATGATTCTCAGCCAAGATGGGCTTGACGGCGAGAAGTACACGCTAACCTTCATTGACGCATGCACACGCTACGTCTGGGCTGTCAACACCGATTGTCGCTCTCTAGCCTTCGAGTGCTTCGTAGCTTGGATGAAGCGCGCTGAACGTCAATCAGGACTGAAGCTGAAAAGCTACCAGACGGACGAAGGAGCGGAGCTTTTCTCAACTGAGTTCAAGGAACTCTTCACCAAGAAAGGGATTGAGCATCTGGTGTCCTTGCCCTACGCTCACGAGCAGCAGGGAGTAGCAGAACGGACAAACAGGAGCCTCGCCACAAGGATGAGGGCTTTGATGAAGTCGTCTGCCATCCCAACAAAGTTTTGGCCGTTTGCGATGAACCACGCTGTTCGGCTGCACAACTTGCTGTCCTCCCGAAGTCTCGAGAACAACACTTCTCCCCACAAAGCGTGGACGGGCAGAAAAGCTGACACGCGTCTCCTTTGGGTGTTCGGCTGCTTGGTACAATACAGGCCACATACAGCAAGGACGGGAAAGTTTGCTGATCGGGGACGCTAGGGGATTCACCTCGCGATAGAAAAGGAATACAAGGCGTGGATCGTGCTGGACTACGCGACACACGAAGTGACAAAATCACGTGACTGCATCTTCTACGAGAAGGTGACCCTGCCACTATTCAAGGAACACCGCGAAGCTGACAAAATACCGGAGAGAGTTTTCGAGGGACACCGCAGCTTCGCCATGCCACAGGATGAGGCTGACTTGGCAGAGGACGCAGACGCAACTGACAACACGCCATTCGATTCCTTTCCCATCATCCCCCTTACAAGCCCATTCCAGACCCCAACTTGCATCCATGTTTCTCAATTCGATCCTAATGATACAACCCGTGAAGCCCACAACTACAACAGCACAGCGCGCCAATCTCCAGATGCCGAGTTACCACCACGCAACCCTTCGTAAGACACCATCCGCACTGGCCACGACAGCGACGACGACGTTGTCAAAGTTACCAGCTTCCACGACTATGATCGCCTCCACTACGAAAAGACCAACGAAACCGGCCTCCGCATCCTTGGGCTCGCA